AGGAAAACTTTGCCCTCTTTAGTAAAGAGATGGCCAGAGAATCAATTTCACTGTGACAAGAAACAAGAGATTTAATTTAGATTGTATAGTAACTGGTATGTAAATATTCACTAATCTTTCTTATCTATCAAAAGTGGCTAATGGTTAATCCTGTGTTTTGTGTTCTCAAAAACAGTTGGGTCAATCGTGTGTCTTTCTTTTGAAAAATAAGTGGAAAACAGAAGGCTCAGGATCTCTGGTTTAACTTTAATCAAGACTAAGTCAAAGGTATCTAGGGCCTAAATACTTGACAGATTTTAGCTTTTCTATTATCGATCTGTAAACACTTATATTAATTACTTCAAACTTTTCTCAGCATTGTTGAAAATCCCATGTATTCACCTTTTAGTTTTGTTTCTGTTGATGCAGAGGAGTTTTTTTTCTGTTGCTGTTGTTGTTTTAACAAACAGCCAAACAATATTTCATTTAAACCTGTGAAATGCTATGCAATTATTGAGGAGTGATTTACTTCCAATTATGTAGTCACTTTTAGAGTAGGTGTGATGTGGTACTGATAAGAATGTGTATTTTGTGGATTTGGGGTGGAGAGTTCTGTAAATGTTTATTAAGTTTACTTGTTCCGGGTCTGAGTTCAAGTCCTGGATATCCTTGTTAATTTTCTGTCTCGTTGATCTGTCTAACATTGACAATGTGATGTTAAAGTCTCCCACTATTATTGTGTGGGAGTCTAAGTGTCTTTATAAGTCATTAAGAACTTGCCTTATGTATCTGGGTGCTCCTGTATTGGGTGCATATATATTTAGGATCGTTAGCTCTTCTTGTTGCATTGATCCTTTTACCACTGTGTAATGTCCTTCTTTGACTCTTTTGATCTTGGTTGCCTTGAAGTCTATTTTATCAGAGGCGAGAATTGCAACTCCTGCTTTTTATTTATTTATTTTTGCTCTCCATTTGGTTGGTAAGGAGTTTTTAATTACACAGGAACTTACTGATAATTTGTTTCTTCTACTGCTTTTATATGAGAAAGTCCTTCTCCATATGTTTACCAATAGTTTCCACTTTAAATGCCTTAGGAAAACTATTCCTTCATCAGCTGTTGCATGATGTGAAGAATAATTTTATACATTTTCTGAGTGGTAATGCCAAACTGATCACATACAATAATTTTAAATTTTCTCCTTCTAAACTATTTTCAATCATGTTTCTTCTGATAGTTTTAATTACCATTGTTTTAAAGTATACTTTCATATCTGACAGAGCGATTCTACCTTATGCATTTTGTCTTTCTTTCCCCAAGAGATTTTCAGCTAGTGCTATTTATTTTACAGGATAAACTTTAGAGTTGCTTTTTAATTTCCTCTTCATCCCTCCAGGAAAAAATTCCATTCAGATTTAATTGGAAAACAGATTTCTAAATTAATTTGTGTTGAATTAATATGAGTTATATCTTTCAGTTTTGGAATATAGTACTTTAATCTATACAAATCTTTGTGTCTGTCCACACCCATACCATAATAAAGTTTCATAGTTTGAACAATAAATCTCAAATTTTAGGGTTATTTCTAGTTATATGGCTTTTGTAATTTGTATCTATTTTTTAACTTTAAATTAGGAAATCTTGATATGTAATACATTTTAATGTTCAATTACCCTTGTGTTCTTGGGATAAATCTTACTTGGTTCTGTCAAATGTTTATCAAATTATCTGCTGAGGTCAAGTATTGACTTAACCCAGAGGTGGTTTTGAGTATACCACTCTGATACAAGGATGATTTTGAGCGGAAGACAATTGAAAAAAAAAAATGTAGACACAAGCAAAACTCTCTGTCCTCCCACTGTCTCCACTAGAAAAGGCAGAACAATTCTTAATTAGAGACAAATCTAGACTCTTATCAGCCCAGAGGTGGCACTGGAGGAATCTACATAACAAATCCTTCTAAAGTAACTTTTGTTTTCTACAACTGTCCCCAGTATATTCACCTTCCTACAGTATGCCACCTCTAGAAGCTCAAAGTCCTATCCCTTTATGTTGTCACTGCTCTCAGTATTGTTCCTTTGTTAAGGTGTTATATAAGCTCAGGTTCTAATCACTTCTTTGAGTTACTCACCACTGAGTTTTTCCATATAAGCATAATACACGTGCTAGTAAAATCCAGTTTTTCTATTTTTAATCTGTCTTTTGTCAGTATCATTGCCAGAGTTCCAGTCAATGAACCTAAGATGGTCTGAGAAAAAATAAAAGCAACTTCTCTGCACCAACTAAAGGAATAATATCTACCTCTACTACAACTATTGCTACTCTCAGTACTTCACCTCTGACACCAAGATGTATGGGATTTCTTCCCCTATAACACCTGGGTATCTTACAATTCAATTCCATTCTGACATTATCTACCTTGGGTTAGCACAAACGGCACAGGTTAAGAGCTCAGTTTCACAGACTGCCCTCACTCCCCACTTCAGATGCCAATTGCAAGTCCAGGTTGTCACATGTGCTACTGACTGACTGGCAATAAATCAGAGGTTCCCACTATCCCTTCCTCAGGTTTGGTAATTTACTAAAACAACTCACAAAATTCAGGGAAACACTTTCACTTGTGTTCACCAATTTATTACAAAGGATATAATTCAGGAACAGTCAAACAAAAGACATATAGGGCAAGATATGGAGGCTGGGCACAGAGCTTCAATGTTCCTTCTGGGTACACCACCCTCCCAGCACTCTGTGTTCACAAACTCAACTCTCTGAATGCTCTCCTTTTGGGGTTTTATGGGGGTTTCATTACATAGACATGATCAATCACAGCATTGGCAATTGGCAATTAAGTCAATTTCCAGTCCCTCTCCTCTACCGAGAGGTTGGACTAAGTTCTCAACTTCTGATCACAGGATTTGTTCTTCTGGATAGATGGGTAGAAGAGAGATACTTTTTTCTTCCTTCTACCCCAGAGCTTATAAACCTTATTTAGAGAAATTGAAATAGTCATGAAATTAACATTATAAGTAATAACTGACATTGCTAATGTTCTCTTCCTTCCCTGCCATCTTCTTCATTTCTTTGTTTTTCCAATCTTTGTGTGCCCTGACACCACAGAAGAGGCAATAGGAAAACAGTCTAAACTTTTCCTCCAAGCAGCACAATTTTAAGAACAGGAATCAGAATAAATATTTATAATCCAAATATAACACAAGCTTGATTTCTTAGAGATTAACATGTCTTCTCTTATTTAATTCTCAAAACAACCTCATGAGGCAGTGCATGGTATCAGTTCTGTATGGCAAGAACGGTAGAAGTATACATTATTTTCATAGATACTGCAGTCTCCCCACAAGAATCTGTGGTCTTCTTGGTGCTAAATTGGCTTAGGAACCAAGAAAGCTCAGTGCTCATCAACATTCTCCTAGATAGAAACATAAAGATTCTTAGTGCGCCTACTTCTAGGATGGTATTGTAAATCTGAAGAATAAAAAAGACAGCGGTTTAGCAGTTGGCTTTTTTTGCTCACCCTGAAAGGATCCTACCTGCATAGAGACGACACTGGTATCTGGGTCCTCCTTAGGAAGGCAAAGGCCAGCAAAATGCCATACATCCTCCTTCTCTGGGCTTTTACTTCATCACATATATGTATCCTTGATTAAGTAAACTGGGAATTCATAGACCATAGTGTGCATGGTGGTGGGGTGTCTCATCTCACAAATGAAGAAATTGAGTCTTAGAAAGATTTGAGATAATTCCCAAAATCACTGAACTAGTATATGGTAGAACTGAGATATGGATGAAGGACCATCAGATTCTAGAGCTGTGGACTTCTATATCCCATGGTGTCCAGAAATGTTGGTTGACCACCCCAAATCCTCTTCCATTTCTCTTCTCTCTAGTCACCCTCCGGTCAGGCATGGCCATGTGACGATTCTGGCCAGAGATTTAAGTAGGCTACAGAATTCCTGGAAACATGTTTGTTTTTCTAATAGGGATAACCCTCCCTTCCCCTTCTTCCTTCAATGTGATGATGAGAGATGAAATAACCATTATGCAACCATTAGGAAAAGCCAAAATAATCAAAGTACCTTTAGTGCTGGTGGAGTTCAATTGTTGAACTAGCAGTGCATCTGCATTACTCTGGGTTTCTCTTTGAAAGTTATGAGTTTAAGTCACAGTAACCAGGTTTCTAACTACCACCAATTGATAAGCTCATGTAATGTCTTTTGCTGTGATTATTTTGACTTATTAACATATAGTATTAATTTTCCTCTTTTTTTGTCTAAAACTGCTTCACTCATTCTTTATTTTTAGTATTTCTGAGCAAATTTTATCTAGGTGTGATCCATGTAAGAAACGTTGTTGCATTTTGTTTTTAACTAAACCACTGAGAGGATTTTATATCTTAATTTTAAATCTGACAAAAGTTTAACAGTAAGTCTATTTCAACATCAGATAAGACTCTAGTGTATGTCACATGTGAGCCATATAGTGAATATAAAACAATCTAAACAAGTTTTATGAAAGAAAAAATCAGTAGCATAGTGCTTCATGGGAAATTAGTTACCTAGTAATTTTTTCCTGGTCCAAATCCTTTGTAAACATGCAGATATCCTTGACAGACCAAAGATGTTAGCTTCATTGGGCAGTTGATAATATTAAGCTGAATAACGTGATTTAAAGGTGCTACTAACCTCCATTGGCAACTAAGGCATAGATGAAAGAAACAAAGTCAAATGATTTCCAAACAGAATGCTTTGTTATTTTGCTCAGAAATTAATGCATCAATGTTATTGACTCTCAGTGAGAGTTAGCTTTTGTGTTGGTTTTGTTATGGTTGTGAGAGAAAAAGATTTGTACTTTAAATTATACCAACTTTAAAATACCTAATACCTAATTTGCCAAAATTTGTAAAGTTCATACATTTTGATGAAAGGTTGACTAATTGGGTGTATTGTTTTATATTCTGATTGAATATGTATAAGATCTGAAGGACCTACATGTGCCAGAATTTGCCCCAAATTCCCACAAACCATTTATTATCTACTATGTGCCCAAATATTTTACATACATTTTATCAGTCTCCAACATTCTTTGTAGAGATTTGAGAAAGTACAATTTACCCACAAGAACATTCTTACATTGTTTTGTGTTGTTTCCATATTAAAGGCCACAGATGAGTGGTTACCTAAGAGTCTATTTTTTATTGAAAAGAGGTGAAGAATAATATTTTAAGCAAATACCAAATGTTTAGGTCAGTCAACTGATTTTTTTCCACACACTTCTTCCATTGTAATAAACATTCATTCCTTACCTCATAGTAGTTCTGTGAGAATTTCTTAGGATCTGCATGATCCCTGCTGGCTTAGTCAGAAGAACATTCTCACAAGGGACCAAATGCTCTCTGTTTGAACTTTGGGGAAGTCTGGTTATTTTACTGTCTTTTGGACCTAGAAGAACAGGAAGCAGAAAAAATGAGAAACTTTTTTTTACTGTACTTTAGGTTCTGGGGTACATGTGCTGATCATGCAGGATTGTTGCATAGGTACACACATGGCAAGGTGGTTTGCTGCCTCCATCCCCCCGTCACCTACATCTTGCATTTCTCCCCCTGTTATCCCTCCCTGACATCCCCACTCATCCTGTTGTCCCTCCCTTTCCCCCCCAACAGACCCCTGTGTGTGATGCTTCCCTCCCTGTGCCCATGTGTTCTCATTGTTCATTACCCCCCTATGAGCGAGAACATGCAGTGTTTGATTTTCTGTTCTTGTGTCAGTTTGCTGAGAATGATGGTTTCCAGATTCATCCATGTCCCTACAGAGGACACAAACTCATTTTTTATGGTGGCATAGTATTCCAGGGTGTATATGTGCCACATTTTCCTTGTCTAGTCTATCTAGATGGGCATTTGGTTTGGTTCAAGGTCCTTGCTATTGTGAACAGTGCCGCTATGAACATACTTGTGTATGTGTCTTTATAATAGAATGATTTATAATCCTTTGGGTATATGCCCTTTATAGTAGAATGATTTATAATCCTTTGAGAATAATCCTTTGGTATTAATCCTTTGGGTATACGCTGGGTCAAATGGAATTTCTATTTCTAGGTCCTTGCGGAATCACCATACTGTCTTCAACAATGGTTGAACTAGTTTACACTCCCACCAACAGTGTAAAAGTGTTCCTATTTCTCCACATCCTCTCCAGCATCTGTTGTCTCAAGATTTTTTAATCACCATTCCAACTGGCATGAGGTGGTAGCTCAATGTGGTTTTGATTTGCATTTCTATAATAATCAGTGATGATGAGCATTTTTTCATATGTATGTTGGCCTTATATGTGTCTTCTTTTGAAGAGTGTCTGTTCATATACTTCTCCTACTTTTGGATGGGTTTGTTTTTTTCTTGTAAATCTGTTTTAGTTCTTTGTAGATTCTGGATATTAGCCCTTTGTCAGATGGGTAGATTGCAAAACTTTTTTCCCATTCTGTTGGTTGCTGGTTCACCCTAATGATTGCTTCTTTTGCTGTACAGATGCTCTAGAGTTTAATTAGGTCCCATTTGTCTATTTTGGCTTTTGTTGTCAGTGCTTATGGTGTTTTGGTCATGAAGTCCTTGCCTATGCCTGTGTCCTGAATGGTTTTGCCTAGGTTTATCTTCTAGGGTGTTTATGATGTTAGGTCTTATGTTTAAGTCTTTAATCCATTTGGAGTTAATTTTAGTGTAAGGTGTCAGGAAGCGGTCTAGTTTCTGCTTTCTGCACACTGCTAGCCAGTTTTCCCAACACCATTTATTAAACAGGGCGTCGTTTCCCCATTGTTTGTTTTTGTCAGGTTTGTCAAAGATCAGATGGTTGTAGATGTGTGGCATTGCCTCCAGGGCCTCTGTTCTGTTCCATTGTTTTATATCTGTTTTGGTACCAGTACCATGCTGTTTTGATTACTATAGCCTTGTAGCATAGTTTGAAATCAGGTAGCATGATGTCTCCAGCTTTGTTCTTTTTGCTTAGGATTGTCTTGGCTATGCGAATTCTTTTTTGGTTCCATATGAAGTTTAAGGTGGATTTTTCCAGTTGCGTGAAGAAGGTCATCGGTAGCTTGATGGGGATAGCATTCAATCTATAAATTACTTTGGGAACTATGGCCATTTTCACGATATTGATTCTTCCTAACTATGAGGATGGAATGTTTCTCCATCTGTTTGTGTCCTCTCTTATTTCGTTGAGCAGTGGCTTGTAGTTCTCCTTGAAGAGGTAGTACGTCCTTTGTTAGTTGTATTCCTAGGTATTTTGTTCCTTTTATAGCAATTGTGAATGGGAGTTTGCTCATGATTTGGCTCTGTTAGTCTGTTATTGGTGTATAGAAATGCTTGTGATTTCTGCACACTGATTTTGTATCCTGAGACTTTGCTGAAGTTGCTTATCAGTTTCAGGAGATTTGGGGCTGAGATGATAGGGTCTTCCAAATATACAATAATGTCATCTGCAAATAGAGATCATTTGACTTCCTCATTTCCTAATTGAATACTCTTTCTTTTGTTTTCTTGCCAAATTGCTCTGGCTAGAACTTCCAATACTATATAGAATAGGAGTGATGATAGAGGGCATCCTTGCCTAGTGCCAGATTTCAAAGGGAATGCTTCCAGTTTTTGCCCATTCAGTATGATGTTGGCTGTAGATTTGTCATAAATAGCTTTTATTGTTTTGAGATAGGTTCCTTCTATACCTAGTTTGTTGAAAGTTTTTAGCATAAAGTGCTGTTCAATTTTGTAGAAGGCCTTCTCTGCATCTATTGAGATAATCATGTGGTTTTTGTCTTTGGTTCTGTTTATGAGGTAGATTATGTTTACAGACTTGTGTATGTTGAACCAGCCTGGCATCCCCAGGATAAGGCCTAGTTGATCATGATGGATAAGCTTTTTGATGTACTGTTGCAATTGCTTTGCCAGTATTTTATTGAAGATTGTTGCATCTATGTTCATCATGGATATTGGCCTGAAGTTCTCTTTTTTTGTTGAGTCTCTGCCGGGTTTTGGTATCAGGATGGTCTCATAAAATGATTTGGGAAGGATTCCTTCTTTTTGGATTGTTTGCAATAGTTTCAGAAGGAATGATACCAGCTCCTTTTTGTACATCTGGTAGAATTCAGCTGTGAACCCATCTGGACCTAGACTTTTTTTGGTTGGTAGGCTGTTAATTGCTGCCTCAACTTCAGCCCTTGTTATTGGTCTGTTCAAGGTTTCAACTTCTTCCTGGTTTAGGCTTGGGAGGATGCAAGATTCCAGGAATTTATCCATTTCTTCCAGGTTTACTGGTTTATGTGCATAGAGTTGTTTGTAGTAATCTCTGATTGTAGTTTGTATTTCTGTAGAAACAGTGGTGATATCCCCTTTATTGCTTTTTATTGCATCTATTTGATTCTTCTCCCTTTTCTTTTTTATTAATCTGGCTAGTGGTCTATTTTATTGTTTGTTTCAAAAAACCAGCTCCTGGATTTATTGATTTTTTGAAGAGTTTTTTATGTCTCTATCTCCTTCAGTTCTGCTCTTAGTTATTTCTTGTCTTATGCTAGCTTTTGAGTTTTTTTGATCTTGCTCCTCTAGCTCTTTCAATTTTGACAATAGTGTCATATCCTTGCTTCTCATGTGGGCATTTATTGCTATAAATTTCCCTCTAGACACTGCTTTAAATGTGTCCCAGAGATGCTGGTACCTTTTGTCTTCATTCTCATTGGTTGCAAAGAACATCTTTATTTCTGCCTTCATTTCATTGTTTATCCAGTGGACATTCAGGAGCCAGTTGTTCAGTTTCCATGAAGCGGTGCGGTTCTGAGTTAGTGTCTTAATTCTGAATTCTAACTTGATTGCCCTGTGGTCTGAGAGAATGTTTATGATTTCCATTCTTTTGCATTTGCTGAGGAGTGATTTACTTTCAATTATGTGGTCAATTTTAGAGTAGGTGTCATGCGGTGCTGAGAAGAATGTATATTCTGTGGATTTGGGGTAGAGATTTTTGTCGATGTCTATTAGGTCCACTTGGTTCAGACCTGAGTTCAAGTTCTGGATATCCTTGTTAATTTCTGTCTCATGGATCTAATATTGACAGTGGAGTGTTAAAGTCTACCAATATTATTGTTTGGGAGTCTAAGTCTCTTTGTAGGTCATTAAGAACTTGTTTTATGTACCTGGGTACTCCTGTATTGGTTATATATATATTTAGGATCATTAGCTCTTCTTGATGCATTGATCCTTTTACCATTATGTAATGCCCTTCTTTGTCTCTTTTTATCTTTGTTGGTTTAAAGTCCATTTTATCAGAGAGTAGGATTAAAACCGCTTTTTTTTTTTTTTTGCTCTCCATTTGATTGATAAATCATCCTCCATCTCTTTATTTTGAGCCTATGTGTGTCCTTGCACGTGAGATGGATTTCCTGCATACAGCACAGTCATGGGTCTTGACTTTTTATCCAACTTGCCAAGTCTATGTCTTTGATTGGGGCATTTAGCCCATTTACATTTAAGGTTAATATTGTTATATGTGATTTTGATCCTGCCCTTTTTTTCCCCCCATTTATTTTATTGCATTTTAGGTTTTGGGGTACATGTGAGGAACATGCAAGATTGTTGCATAGGTACACACGTGGCAGCGTGATTTGCTGCCTTCCTCCCCATCACCTACATCTGGCATCTCTCCCCTTGCTATCTCTCCCCAGGTCCCCACCCCCCACCGTCCCTCCCCTATTTACCCCCAACTGACCCCAGTGTGTAGTGCTCCCCTCCCTGTGTCCATGTGTTCTCATTGTTCAACACCTGCCTATGAGTGAGATCCTGCCCTTTTGATGCTAGCTGGATGTTTTTCCTGTTAGTTGACACATTTTTTTCATTGTGTCAGTGGTCTTCACCATTTGGTACGTTTTTGTAGTGGCTGGTACCGGTTGTTTCTTTCCTTGTTTAGTGCTTCTTTCAGGAGCTCTTGTAAGGCAGGCCTGGTGGTGAAAAAATCTCTAAACAATTGCTTGTCCATAAATGATTTTCTTTCTCATTTGCTTATGGTGCTTATTTGGCTGGATATGAAATTCTAGGTTGAAAGTCCTTTTCTGTAATGATGTTGAATATTGGCCCTCAATCTCTTCTGGCTTGTAGGGTTTCTGCCAAGAGATCAACTGTGAGACTGATGGGCTTTTCTTTGTGGGTAACTCAACCTTTTTCTCTGGCTGCCCATAGCATTTTTTCCTTCATTTCAACCCTGGTGAATCTGATGATTATGTGCTTTGGGGTTGCTCTTCTTGAGGAATATCTTTGTGGTGTTCTCTGTATTTCCTGGCTTGAATTGTGGCGTGGCTTGCTAGGTTGGGGAAGTTCTCCTGGATAATATCCTGAAGAGTGTTTTGCAGCTTGGATTCATTCTCTCTGCCACATTCAGGTACACCTGTCAAACGTAGATTAGGTCTTTTCACATAATCCCATATTTCTTGGAGACATTGTTCCTTTCTTTTCACTCTTTTTTCCTCTATTCTTGCCTTCTTGCTTTAATTCATTGAGTTGATCTTCAATCTCTGATATTCCTTCTTCTGCTTGAACAATTTGGCTATTGAAACTTGTGTATGCTGTTTGAAGTTCTTGTGCTGTGTTTTTCAGCTCCATCAAGTCGTTTACATTCTTCTCTAAGCTGTTTATTCTAGTTAGCATCTCATCTAACCTTTTTTCTTGGTTCTTAGTTTCTTTGCCTTGGGTTAGCACATGTTCTTTTAGCTCTGAGGAATTTGTTATTTCCCGCCTTCTGAAGCCTGTTTCTGTCAATTCATCAGATTCATTCTCCATCCATCTTTGATCCCGAGCTGGTGAGGAGTTGTGATCCCTTGGTGGAGGGCAGGCATTCTGGTTTGTGGTGTTTTCATCATTTTTGCACTAGTTTCTTCCCATCTTAGTGGCTTTATCTACCTGTGGTCTTGGTAGTTGTTGACTTTCAGATGTGGTCTCTGAGTGGACGTCCTTTTAGTTGATGACAAAGTTATTTTTTTCTGTTTCTTAGTTTTCCTTCTAACAGGCCCCTCTGCTGCAGGATGGCTGGAGGTCCACTCCAGACCCTGCTTACCTGGGGATCAACTGTTGGGGCTGCAGAACAGTATGGGTGGCTGCTAGTTTCTTCTTCTGTTATCTTTGTCCCAGAAGGGTACCTGCCAGATGTCAGCCTGAGCTCTCCTTTATGAGGTGTCCCTTTGGGTATATGGGGGTCAGGGAGCTGCTTAAGGAGACAGTCTGTCCCTTATAGGAGCTCAAGTACTGTGCTGGGATCTCCATTGTTCTATGCAGAGATGCTGAGCAGGTGCTTTTAAGTCTGCTGCAGTGGAACTCATAACCGCCTCTTTTCCCAGTACTCTGTCCTAGGAAGGTCAGCTTTATTTATAAGTTCCTATCATGCTGCTGCCTTTTTTCATAGATGCCCTGCCCCACATGGAGTAGTCTAGTTAGTCTGCCAGCAGAGGTGTTGCTGAGCTGCCACAGGGTCTGCCCAGCTGCTGTGTGAACTGCCTTGGTAGTGGTGGTCGCCTTTCCCCAACACTGAGCTGGACCCTCATGGGTCCAGCTGAGCTTCCTGGAAAATTCTTAATCCAGAGCATTTCAGATTGCTTGTTTTGTGGGGGTGGTACCTGCAGAGCCAGATTGCCTGGTTCCCTGTCTCTGCCCCCTCCCTTTCAGTTCAACAGGAGGCTCTGTCTCCCAGGTATTCGAGGTGCCAGCTGAAACGGCTGCCCAGATTTGTGTGACTTTCTGTGCACCAAGCTGGCAGCAGCTGAAACTGCCATGCTGAAAACATGTGGCGCTTTTTGGCTCGGGAATCTCCTGGTCTATGGGCAGTGAAAATTTGTTTGGAAATGTGGTAGGCAGTCACCTTCTTCGTTGTTCTTGCTGGTAACTGCACTCCAGAGCTGTTCCTTTCGGCCATCTTGTATTTTCCCCCTGAAAACCAATTTTTAAACAGGCGTCCTATAGCAGCTCTATTCCCTAATTGTCCTAGGAAAGCAAGTAATTATTGGGAGGTGGTTCATTTCACTGAAAAATCCCTCCATCTTAAATATTCAAAAGATGTAGGAAACAAACACATCTCCCAGAATGATCTCTGACATAGCCTTGGTTCTATGAAAGATGATTATAGGGAACAACTATAGAGAATACCTGTTAACTGCCTAATTCCATCTGAAGGCAACATTCTTAATATATTCTTCCAAGAGAAAATTTTCATATGATACAAATATTTTATTACGCATTTAACTTTTCCCAAGTGTACAGTATACACAGGTCTAGGGAAATACATTATTAGCAATGCTTTTAGGTGTCAAGGGGGAAAACTTGCTTTCAGTTTTCTACATCAAGAATAAAAAAAAAAAACTAATTACATGTTCCAGAGTTCAATCTGTAAACTCTGAATTATATCATTTACACTTATAGTGCTAGAATCTAATATTTGTGTGGTTTTCAAAACTTAATCTTCTGAGCCACGAGAATTACTGCTGCAGAAAACATTCCTTGTGGTATAAAATCACAACCACAGCCAAAAGTTATCTTGCAACCAACGTTATCTTGGCCATTTTCAGAAATCATATACAATTCAATCAAGTTATCCATTGAGCAGTTTCCCTTTTGAACCTGATCAAATATTAGGTGACTTAGATTTTGCTTTCAAACATATACTTATTTCCCCACAGAAACACAATTTCTTTCAAAATCCTGTATGCATTTAAAATAGTCATAAATACAGTAGTATTTATTTTAACCTTTACAAGTTTATAAAATAACCAAATACCTAGGACTTTGAAGACAATACAGCTTAAGCCAAATGCACCTTGTGCAAGGGAATGGAATGTCACCCTCACCAGCGGTCCAGGACTCGTGAAAGTCATTGGGTAAAGTCGTCTCCCACATAATCCACCTAGGTTAAAAAGGTAAACTCTAGTAAAAAATAAGAATGCAAATTTTAGAGCAGTTTCTATATTTTAGGCAGCGCACTTAATTTAACCCACAAGTTAGGAATTGATTCTATTCTGTAAAATGAGGAAACAGGACTCTAGAACACAAGTGACTCACCCAAAGTGACAAATTAGTGGGATGGGAAGCTAGGATCTTCACCTTGGGTCCATGTATCTGATATCCATCATAATCTACTATGTTACAGCACTTCCTGAAGTACAGTAGGTAGTAAATTATTTTATCTTTAAAATGACCGTTGTGCCCTTTTTCTCCTAGAAAAGTAACCTATTATTAAAAATATCTCACCATGAAGATCTATGATGGAAAAAATGTCTCCCTGGAAATTTATTATTTCCCTATAATCAGTCTTCTATTGATTGCTTTGAGAACCTAAGTCAAAAAGATAGAGGGGAAAATTATAATCATAATTCTAAAATGATTCAGAGGGATGATTAAGCATGTGTGGAAAGAACCTGTGAATTTCTTAGGATCAAACTCTTCTACATTAAGAATAATTCAGTGTCATTTTGTAATATTTATTTAAATGTCACCTGCTCAGAAAGGTATCTGCTGATTGTACTACATACAACTATGTGGCACCTTTATCTGAGGTACTTCTTTTCTCCTTAGTTCTTCCATCTAAGATAGCATAGATTTAACTTATTATGTATCTTTTCCCTGCTAGAATATAAGCTTGATAAGGGCAGAAAAGTTTTTTTCATTACTGGATCATCAGAACCAAGATGACTCAGTCCCTGGCCCATAGTAGGTATTTCACAAATATTTGTAGGGATGAAAGGAGGGAGTGCTTAGAGCCAAGAAAGAGAAAAGAAAAAGCATTCATTGGCATTTTAAAGTATATGGTGGTGAAATGCTATGTGAAGAATGACCTAATATTTATTTGTAGCAAATAAAAGTGAATGTAACTTAAATGAATTGCTACATTTAACAGGAAGAAAGCCTTTTACAGTAAAGAATGCTATACAACTTAAGTAAAGGATAATATTTCCATTACAGTCTTGATGTTCTGCTAGCCATAATCTGAAGGAACAGAGCAATTCCACAAGGTTCAAGCTGACTGTTTCTAAAATTAAAGAATTCTTAGGTTGGAAAATTATAGGGCTTCCTCAGTTAATCTACAATGAAGTCAAGCATGGTTTTCAATAGGTAATAATGATAAAGTCAAGTTTCCCCAGAAAATGGGTCTTATAGATGTAGTGCTATCAATGGAGAAAAAAAGACTTATTTTTTTAAAGGAGGCAGGTATAGAGTCACTTTACCATATGAAAAAATATATTTCAGCATGATTTTAAAAGTCTTTTTTAAATTAAAGGTTCTGACCTCAGAATGGAGAATGAATTTTTAAGCATGAAAGCAACAAGATAAAATTCAAAGATCAAAGACATGTATGGATAGATTTAAACAAATAAATTAAAAATTGTATATTAATATAACACAAAGGCAAATGACAATACCAAGAATAAGCATTAAAAACAAATTAATGGGCCGGGCACAGTGGCTCAAGCCTGTAATCCCAGCACTTTGGGAGGCCGAGGTGGGCGGATCACAAGGTCAAGAGATCGAGGCCATCCTGGCCAACATGGTGAAACCCCGTCTCTACCAAAAAAATACAAAAGTTAGCTGGGCTTGGTGGCGTGCACCTGTAGTCCCAGCTAATCGGGAGGCTGAGGTTGCAGTGAGACGAGATTGTGCCACTGTACTCCAGCCTGGCGCCCGGTGACAAAGTGAGGCTCTGTCTCAAAAAAATAAATAAAATTTAAAAAAGAACAAATTAATGACAAAGAAAAGCATTAAGGATAAACATAATGACAACATTAAGAATACACATTAAGAATAAATGTGATAAAGGAAAAATATCTTTGTATTATAAAGCAATAAAAAGAATACTCAAATTTTAAAAATAAAAGATAATGGCAATTTTTTTAAAAAACAAGCTGTACACAGTAACACATGCCAGGTGTTTGGGAAACTGAGCTAGGAGAATCTTTTGAGCCTAGGAATTCAAGGCCAGCCTGGGCAACCTAGGGAGACAATATCTTAAGACCAATAAAAACAAAAGCAAAAAAGAAATTATCTCCATTAATGATTACTTTTAAAGGAAAATTCCCTATTAAATTGACATATTAGTTTTTGGGCATGGTGAAAGACGATCCTAGGCACTGCTAATGGTAGTGAAAATTAAGATAGCCTTTCTGACGAGTAATTTAACGAAACTTTACACAAAAAAACTCAGCATAAATGTATGAAAAAGAAAATATTCCAAGTTCTTAGGTGTTGACCTCATTTTGAAATATAGAGAAAGGAACAGATGGCAAGCTCTCTGCTCTCACGAAGCTTTCATTTTAGGTAAATGAAGATGGTTTCACAGAGAGATCAAAACTACTGATGAAATGAAAGCCAATGTAACAGACAATGACTGTGGGAAGGAATGGAAGATGCTACTTTGGACTGAAGAGCCCTCTTTGAGGAGGTGACTATTCTCTTGTTCACTTATTTATGAAGTGTCTTCAATATGTCAGGCATGCTCTAGGCACCAGGGCTTCTTGATATAAACAGGCAAAAGTTACGGCTCTCACGAAACTCACATTCAATAGGGAAGATACAGATAAACCATAATCATGGAAAAAAATCATAATGTGTTAGATTCTAACCTTTTAACCCAGGATCCCAAACTTTTTGGCACCAGGAACCGGGTTTGTGTGAGACTATTTTTCCACAAACAGTGGGAGGGATGGTTTTGGGATGAAACTGTTCCATCTCAGATCATCAGGCATTAGATTCTCATAAGGAGCACATATCCTACATCCCTTGCATGTGCAGTTCACATTCCTATGAGAACCTAATGCTGCCACTAACAGGAGGCAAAGTTCAGGTGATAATGCTTGTCCGTTGCTCACGGGTGTCTGAATTCCTAATAGGCCATAAGTTGGTACTGGGTTGGAGACCCCAGTGTTAGAAGATAACTGCTCTAAGTAAAGGGAAATGAGAGGTATGGAAGCAGGGGTGTGATGTAACTTACATCAGTCAAGGTTGGTTTCATTAAGAAGGTAATATTCTATCAATAATTGAAGGACATGAAGCACGAGGATGAGAAAGAGCTCTTTGAAGTGCTGGAAATAGACAGACAATGGCCCTAAGGTGAGAATGAGACGTATTGGGAGCCATGAGCTGATGGAGAAGGACTCTTCCAGGGAGTGTGAATTTTATTCCAGGTGCAAGAAGACCTGGAGCAGTTTTAATCAAGGGGGATGAAGGAGGTGATCTGATTCTAGGGGGAATATGTGCCAAGCAGATAGGCTAATTAATCGTGTCACTGTGGTCTAAATTAGATTGTACAATTGTGAATGGGAGTTCATTCATGATTTGGCTGTCTGTTTGTCTGTTATTGGTGTATAGGAATGCTCGTGAAAAAAGAGCCTGGATAGCCAAGACAATCCTAAGCTAGAAGAACAAAGCTGGAGGCATAAAAACCCTAGAAGAAAACCTAGGCAATAGCATTCAGGACATAGGCATGGGCAAAGATTTCATAACTAAAATACCAAAAGCAGTGGCAACAAAAGCCAAAATAGACTGATGGGATCTAATTAAATTAAAAAGCTTCTGCACAGCAAAAGAAACTATCATCAGAGTGAATAGGCAACCTACAGAATGAGAGAAAATTTTTGCAATCTAACCATCAGACAAAGGACTAATATCCAGAATCTAAAAGGAACTTAATATAAATTTACAAGAAAAAACAACCCCATCAAAAAGTGGTTGAAGGATATGAACAGAAGACATTTATGTGAACAACGAACATGAAAAAAAGCTCATCATGATTGGTCATTAGAGAAACGCAAATCAAAACCACAACAAGATGCCATCTCATGCCAGTTAGAATGGCGATCATTAAAAAGTTAGGAAACAACAGATACTAGAGAGGATGTGGAGAAGCAGGACACTGTTGGTGAGAGTGTAAATTAGTTCAACATTGTGGAAGACAATGTGGTAATTCCTCAAGGATCTAGAACTAGAAATACCATTTGGCCCAGCAATCCCATTACTAAGTATATACCCAAAGGATTATAAATCATTCTACTATAAAGACAATGCACACATGTTTATTGCAGCACTATTTACAATAGCAAAGACTTGGACTTGGAACCAACCCAAATGTCCATTAATGATAGACTGGAAAAAGAAAGTGTGGCACATTTACACCATGGAATACTCTGAAGCCATAAAAAAGGATGAGTTCATGTCCTTTGCAGGGACATGAATGAAGCTGGAAATCATCATTCTCAGCAAACTAACACAGGAACAGAAAACAAAACACCTCATGTTCTCACTCATAAGTGGGAGTTGAACAATGAGAACATGAGGACTTTGGGAGGGATAGCATTAGGAGAAATACCTGCACATTTCGCACATGTATCCCAGAACTTAAAAGTATAATTTTTTAAAAGAAGAAAACGTTAAGGTTGCTTGCAAGGAAAAAGCATTCCTATTACATGGATCAACATCTTGGTGGCATTATTACCAAGTCAGACTCACTCCTGATCATAAGCTGCCTACATGGACAAGACTCCTAGCACCAAGTTTATATGTCAGGAAGGATTACCTGCCATCTTTCTCTTCCTGGGTTGGTCTTCAGAAATAATTAGAACTGAGTTTCGACACACAGGAGACCCCAGGAGTGACAGATACTCAATGGTAAATTTCGCTATATTGCTTGGTGAAACTCGGAGCACCCAAGAACGTTCCAGTCTTCCGCTGTAATTCAGTGGATATTGTGGAATGGGAAAAAATCCTCTGAGCTTTTCTAGCTCTGCTTCAGAGCAACAACCTGCAATTCAGAACACATAGACACCAGGCACCAACATAAACAAGGCAAAGTAAAAAACTTCTGTCATAAGACTGAAAAACCTAGGCTTGCAAGAAGAAAGTTGAGACTTTGTTTCTGTCAGTTACAAATTATTCTGTTAAAAAAATTCCATTTAATGTGCCTTATTTTCTTGAAGTAATATATTATAGGGGTAGAATTTATATCCCAATTATTTTAAATTAATTTTTAATGAATTTTTTAAGTTTCTTAGAAGATACACAGTTCCCAGCAGGTTTTCATTTCTTTCCTTCTTTGCGATGCATCTGAAGACCTGTCCTAAAAGCTTCACTAAATTAGCTGAGCTTGCTGGGGCAAATGATTACATTCATTTGAACTTGTGACTGAGGTCATGAAAAAGATCATTTGCTGGATATATTGAGATGTCTCACTTCTTCAGCTTGCTAAGTCTAAGGCCCCTTTTGGACCTTCATGACACCTGCTGCAGTTTGGATGCCAGTTTTTTCCTGACCCACTGACTCAGCAACCATCTTCTCTTACGTCCTCATCTGGGCTTCCTCCTTAACTCTCTCTTCTTCCTTATGTCTATTGCTTTGACAAAAACTTTCTGAGAAATTAAAAAGAAATATTCTATGTTCATATTTTAATGTATGTATTAGTGAATACATACATTACTATGCATGGTCTGTCCTAGAGGAATTAATACAGTAACTGAGGAGGAGGTACGTAAACATGCTTTTATTAACAGGAGAAGTGAAAAGTGGAATAAGGCAAATGAAGTGCTACAAAACTTTAGCATTCTAGTCCATTGTTTGGTTCTGTGCCATTTCTTTGTTAGTCCTCTTTTTTATATGGCTACAAGAATATAATCAGATATTTACTGTTTTGATATAATAGTAAACTAAATGATCTTTCAGTCTATAATCTTCCCTCACTATGCCCTACCATCTGGGAATGGTGTATAAAACAAAAAATCAAGTTGTTTTCCTGCTGAAAGCAACTAACATAGTCCAGCTTGCAAGATCTTTCCACCTGGCCCCAACCTGTCTTTCTAATCTTCTTAGTTTTTCTCCCTCTCTATAGGAATCCTCTGTGACAAATCTGACTGGAAATCACATAGAGCCATGAATTACCAACAAGTCAAGACTTTTTATAAATGGGAGTAACAATCTGAAGAAAGCATTGCCAAGATTCATTAATTCTCCAGTGTAAAAAGTAAGTGGCAGGAGTGGGTGGGTGTTAAATGTGGCATGGTCCTAACAATCTGTCACCTAAAATAATCATAGAATGAAAACAAAGCAAGACCCTTTCGTATATAGAACTTTCAAAGTTATTTGGCATGCGTAACTATTTCTGAACGTATATAAAGGAGAAACAATTTCTTTACATTTTAACAATGTTCTTTTTGTTTGCTTTGAGATGGACTCGCACTGTCATCCAGGCTGGAGTGCAATGGTGCGATCTCGGCTCACTGCAGCCTCTGCCTCCTGGGTTCATGTGATTCTCCTGCCTCAGCCTCCCATGTAGCTGGGCTTACAGGCACACACCACTACACTCAGCTACTTTTGTGTATTTTTAGTAGAGACAGGGTTTCACTGTATTGGCCAGACTGGTCTCAGACTCCTGACCTTGGGACCTGCCAGCCTTGGTCTCCCAAAGTGCTGGGATTACAGGCATGAACCACTGCACCCGGCCACAATGTTCATTTTCTAACAGCCTGATTGAGATCATTCAAAAAATACATTAGATGGCACTGTCATCACCATTTATGAACCCTTATCTTGGATCAGACCCTCCTTGTTCTAAGTGCATTACATGGATTAACCTATTTAGGCACTCACTGAATTCATTCATTTAACTCAGTCCATTGAAATCAATAGTTTTTAGTCCACTCTCTGTCTCAATCCCAAGTCCAGATTTACTTTTAACCTACTCTACATATCTTTTACTCTTTGACTCGTGTTGCCAGACAAATGGTCCTTCGTCCACTCATCATTCCTGGAAGGTTTTAGCAGTCATTTTCTCCAACACTTTTGTCATAGTTCTTTCTGATTTCAATCACTATACACATGATGATTCCAGCACTCAAGTTTCCAGCTCCTCAACTTTCCTCCAATGATCTTGTCTTGCACCTGACCTCAGACACTTATCCTTATGATCAGCCCTTAAACACTTGATCAATAGCAGTAACTCGAAGCCTTCTGTAATCTCAGTTTCAGGAACCATTTTCTCCAACCACAATCTTCCATCTTTTCAGCCTCCCTTAATACCCCTTCCACATTTTGGGACCATAATTTACCTATTCTACCACCTTACCTTTGTCCCAAACAAATCTCTCATCATTATTTCACTTCTTACCTATCCTAAATTCCAATGATCCATCATTTCAACCACTTCTTCACATACACTTTGAATTCCCTTGTTACCCTCACATACTGGGGAACACTCCACTTTGATTAAATCCATGCTCGACCTACTCTGTACCTCTGTGTCTCCAGAGGAAAATATACAACTAAGCTAACTGGAGGCGTTCTGTTTTCTTCTCTCAATTTATGATCATTCATCACAGGGGGCCTTTATGCTCCCCAGCAATCCTACTATATCTTTCTATTCACTATGGCATTTTCTAGAAAAACATTTCATCCTTTTTTCTCCTAAAAATCAAACTTTCTTGCACAACCCCTCCTTTCATCTGCTAAAAAAAAAAAAAAAAAAAAAGGTCAATAAACAGAAGAATAAAACACCCACGCAGGTACCCTCAAGATCCTGCCTTCCATCCATTAACCACAGATGAAATGTACTTTGCTCCTATCTAAGACCATCCCCTCCTTTTGGGCACTAGATCCCATCTTCTTTCCTCTACTCAAAGTCATCACTCTTGCAATTCTACTTTTTATCTTACATTTTCTTTCAACTCTTCCTAGTTGTTTACTATGGTTGAGTATATCGGGGAAGGGGAAAACGTGGGTAACAAAGGAAAGACTGACGATTTGGAAACCAAGAGTGCTAATAAAATAGAACTTCCAGCCAGGTGTGGTGGCTCATGCCTGTAATCTCAGCACTTTGGGAGGCCAAGGCAGGCAGATCATGAGGTCAGGAGGTGGAGGCCATCCTGGCTAACACAGTGAAACCCTGTCTCTACTAAAAATACAGAAAATTAGCCAGCGTCGTAGTGGGCATCTGTAATCCCAGCTACTCTGGAGGCTGAGGCAGGAGAATTGCTTGAACCCAGGAGACAGAAGTTGCTGTGAGCTGAGATTGCACCACTGCACTCCAGCCTGGGCAACAGAGCAGGACTCTGTCTCTAAATAAAGGAATGAATAAATAAAATAGAACTTCTATCTTTCTACAAGTCTATTACAGATTTCTAATCCTCCAATTGCTGTTAGTTTAGACTAAAAATCAAATCCTATTATCCAACAAACAGTGGGAACTGTGGAAGAATTAAGAAAAATTCTAATGCTGATGCCAGTCTTGGTCATCTTATACCCAGATTCTTTACCTAGCAAGATACTTGCATATAGAAGGACTTTGGTTCAAGTAGAAGTAAACAGCTCAGAGTTTAAAATAATTGTATAATTCTCCAATTTTCAAGCACTTGTTCACAACCACAAGACTTTTAAAAAACCTGCAACAGGTCTAGCTTTGGGTTGGAAATGATCTCCAGCAATCATAATAACTACCCCCACTTTCAGCAAAAACTACCAACCAGAAGGAAAACACAGAGATTATACGGTTCCACAAAAAATTTAGCAAAGCTACATAGATGATGCTTTTTGCCAAATTCTTGCTGAAAGTATTAATGGGATAATGTGAACATTTATTACCTGGCCAAGATGCACTGTCTGGCGAAGGTGTGGGCAGTGGCAATTGTTGTTTTAAGGTTTTGCACTTATTTGTCTGAAGTGAAGCAGGACCTGTATTTGGGGAGAACATGTTAAAAATAAAGATGAAAGCCTGAGGACAAAATATAGTTGGCATCAAAACAGCCACTACCAAAAGAAATCCAGGATTAAGGCAGCTTTGGGAAAAGTCGGTTTTACTCTAACTCTACAAATGAGAGAACTTATTTTGCAGAATCTTGCATTTTAGTGTGTTTAGTAACTAAATGAAATTCGACTCTATGGTTTTCTCTTTCATGTTAATTTATACCACACTCACTGTTCCCAAACCCACTCTAAAGAAAGAGGTATTGTTTTAGTAACATCTGAAAACAACTTACCATTGATTTTGGATTGGATCCAGTCCAAGAAGACCATCACCCTGGCAAATATACCCGGCTTCCATGGCTGGACACAGCCAGCTCCCCAGCTGACAATGCCATAGAGGACAAAGGGACCATTTTCATGTCTACATACTAGTGGTCCACCAGAGTCTCCCTGAAACACCAAGAAAACATGTTCCAGAAAACTGCTTTAATCTAAAGCTCCTGCTTTTAATTTTTAGAAGAAGAATGATTAATAATATATTTGTAATGTGTTTAATTTCTTAAAGATTTGGTCTTTGTCAATTTGCATCTTTACATAGTATGTATTCACTGTTTTGCAAAAGGAAACAAAATTTATGAACAATCAGATGGTAATTGGATTCCAGGGTGAAGAAAAAGCCTAACTCACAAAATGAGAAAACAATTACTAAGTCTTCCCAGCCCCATCAGAAGGACATAGTCTTTAAATGATATCAATTAGTAAAACTGTAATATTTAAGATTTCAAGCTACATCTTTTTAAAATAAAAATTTACTTAGAAAACTGCACAGTGCTCAAATGAATTCAACACAAGAAATGGACTTTCTTTTTTTTTCTTTTTGAAAGTTGGGTTAGGATCATTGGGTGATAAACTCTATAGGTAATGTTTTCCCTATCACTGGTCACTCTTGACACAATCTATTCAGATCGAAGTGTAGAGTTACGACATACAGAGAAAGTAGGGTGTTGATGGTGAGGTGAAAAAAACTTAGACGTTGATTTATATCTATTAAAAGATATTCATGGCTTGGTGAGTTGGCTCACCCTTGTAATCCCAGCACTTTGGGAGGCTGAGGTGGGTGGATCATGAGGTCAGTAGTTTGAGATCAGCCTGACCAACATGGTGAAACCCCATCTCTACTAAAAGTACAAAAATTAGTCAGGCATGGTGGTGCACCTGTCCAGCTGCTCAGGAGGTGGAGGCAGGAGAATCACTTGAACCTGGGAGGTGGAAGTTGTGGTAAGTTGAAATGACACCACTGCACTACAGCCTGAGTGACAGAGCAAAACTCTCTCTCAAAAAAAGTATTTTAATTCTAGTATTACAATTTTATTTTTGCTTACTTGCAGATTCCAAAGTTACACAATATCAAAAAATTTAAAGGCCAAGCTAATTTAACTTCCTGGGATATTAGATGTGAAAAATTTTAATTAGAGAAATAAGTGATCTGTCCTATTTCACACACACAGGTAGTAGTAGCAGTAAAATCTGAGCCCATGTCACCTGCTAAAATTCAGTGTTCTTTCCTTTCCACCAAACTGATAAATGTTTATTAATGGAACTACCTTAAACAAGGCTAGTAGTTAGCTTATACAATTACTGAATTCAAGGAAAGACACATAGAAATTTAACTTACAGTTAATTATTTTTATGGTCTTAGATACGGCTGCTTTGGTCATGATTAAACACATTTCAAAAGGTAAAATGCCACCCAAAAGCACCAAGAAGTTCATGTAGATGGAAGTGTCTCTCTTTAATATTCCTCTCAATATTTGCATTGTTTAAATGGACAAATTATAAGCAGAAAGAAATTTTGAAGAAAACAGTGGTATTGTTATTAAGGGAACCAAACTATGTACATCACACATAGTCATCTATTAATTAGCACTAACATCTACATGTCTCTTCAGGTTCAATGTGAAAATCAATGGCAGCACAATAGGTGCCCTTGTTAATGTCTATTACTATTTACAACATGTGCCCATTTGACGGTAAGCACTGCATCTTATTCAACTTTGTATCCCAGGAAACCTACCACAATACGCAGCCCATAATACATGCTAAGTAAAGGTTTGCTTAATTTACAGTGAAATTTTATAAACTATATGCATCAAAGCAAGCCTTAATACATGGGATTTTCATTTTTTTTTAGAGTAGGCTTTCCAATTTTTAATCAGGTCTTTTGTAGGAAGTGAATGGACACAAATGTATTTAGGACCAAACTAAGTCCTTTGTCTTCTTATAAGATAAATTATGTTGATGGAACACATTTGAAACATCTATTTTATATAAAGAATTTAACAGAAGAAACCTTAAGTTGGGAAAAAAACACATTACTGTATTTCCTTTTTCCCAACTTAAGGTTTCTTCTGTTAAATTCTGTAATGTAGAACAATTATCATTTCTTCTGGGCCTAATTTTTTCACATAATGATTATACTTAAGACCCCCTTCCAGTTGGACAATTGTCTGATATATCTAGGCAAGTGTTTTGTTTTTTTAAAATCATTGATTTTTTTCAGTACCAACATATAGCCAATACATAATTTTTCAGGCAATTACAAACATTCCATATTACAGGAAACCTGTCTAGTTTATCTCTTTTTGCTTATCATATGGTGTAGCCCATGGTAAATATTCAGCAAACAAATGAACATTCTTTATTAAAAAATTATTCAATGCTGTGAGCCAGACATACCAAGTAAGACAGAGTATAAGCAAATAAGATGGTAACAGTAGCTATAAAGGAAATACTCAGAGTGAATGTAGAGAATAAAGGTAGGTATATATTTGTCTTACATGTGCATGTATGTGTATGCAGTTTCAATAACAGTTGAGCTATACATAAAGGATGACAAGGAGCCAGCTTTCCAAAAACCTGGATGAACATTTTATGAAAAAGATATATCTTGGCTAAGCCTCTAAGACAGTCAAGACACGGCCACTTGGGAGGTTAGAAAGCAACCAATGTGGCTGAGGACATATATTATTCTGTGAAGACAGAGATCTATGACTTTGCAGATGAAAAGAAGTTAGAAAAAATAGCAATGACATTCTTCAAAGAAATAGAAAAAATAATCATAAAATTTATATGGGACTACAAAAGACTCCGAATAGCCAAGCCGTCCTGAACAAAAAGAACAGAATTGGAAGAATCACATTACCTGACTTCAAATTATACTACAAAGCTATAGTAATCAAAACAGTACAGTACTTGCATAAAAACAGACTTGTAGAACAATGGAACAGAGTAGAAAACCCAGAAATAAATCCATACATCTACAGTGAACTCATTTTTTGTCAAAGGTACCAAAAAATACACTGGGGAAAGGACAGTTGCTTCGATAAATGGTGCTGGGAAAACCAGATATCCTTATACAGAAGAATGAAAGTAGACCCCTATTTCTCACCATTTGCAAAAATCAAATCAAAATGGATTAAAGACTCAAATCTCAGACCTCAAACTATGAAACTAATAAAAGAAAACATTGAGGAAACTTTCCAGGACATTGAACTGGACAAAGATTTCTTTAGTAATACCTCACAGGCACAGGTAACCAAAGAAAAAATGGACAAATGGGATCATATGTTAAAAAGCTTCTGCACTGCAAAGGAAACAAAGCCAAAAGACAACCTTTCTACAAAGTACTCATCTGACAAGAGATTAATAACCAGAATACATAAGGAGCTCAAATAACTCTATAGAAAAATCTAATAATCTGATTTTAATAATGGACAAAAACTCTGAATAGACATTTCTCAAAAGAAGACATACAAATGGCAAACCGGTATATGAAAAGGTGCCCAACATCATTGATGGGAGAAATGCAAATCAAAACTATGTTGAGATATTTTCTCACCTCAGTTAAAATGGCTTTTATCCAAAAGACAGGCAATAACAAATGCTTACAAGGATATGGAAAAAAAGAGAACCCATGTATACTATTGATGAGAATGTCAATTAGTACAACCACTATAGAGAATAATGTGGACTTTCCTCAAAAAATAATATAAATACAATTGATATAACAATCCTACTCCTAGGTATATGCCCAAGAGAAAGGAAATCAAGATATTGAAAAGTTATCTGCACCCCCATGTTTATTGCAACACTATTCACAATGGCCAAGATTTGGAAGCAGCCTAAGTATCCCTCAACAGATAAACATAAAGAAAATGTGGTGCATATACACAATGGAGTACTACTCAGCCATACACAAGAATGAGATCCTATCATTTCCAACAACATGGATGGAGCTGGAGGTCATTATGTGAAGTGAAATAAGCCCAGCACAGAAAGACAAACTTTGCATGTTCTCATTTACTTGTGGGAGCCAAAAACCAAAACAATATAGCTCATGGAGATAGTAGAGAAAAATGGTTTCCAGAGGCTGGGAAGTGTAGTGGGTGAGTATAGGGAAGTGGGGATGATTAATGGGTACAAAAAAAAAAAATAGAATGAAAAAATCTAGTATTTGATAGCAAAACAGAGTAACTATAGCCTATAATAATTTAATTGCACATTTAAAAATAAAATAGTATGATTAGATTGTCTGTAATACAAATGATATACACACCATTTACCCTATGTGATTATTATTCCTTGTACAGCTGTATGAAAATCTCATGTCCCCTATAAATATATACACCTACTATATACCCACACAATTAAAAATTAAAAAAGAAACTAGAATAAAAAATCTGAAATCCAGTTAGCAAAGAACAGCAGGATACTACATTGCATATCTGAAAACAGCATGTCTCTGCATTCCAGTATTATTATGCCTATCTCCCTGAATGAGAAGGCACATTAGCAGGTCTATTATCTATAAGGATACACAAGAGAATAAACATCAATTACCTGATAGAAATATTAGAGACTATTTTACCAAAGCAAGTTTCTAAAGTCACCCTTTTAGTAACTCAGTGTACTTTGTAATAGAAAGCTAGTCATATTTATTAGAATCTCAGCTTCTAGTTTTCTTCCCATATATGGGCAGTAAATTTGGTCATGCTGCAGCCAAAGTGACAGTTGTATATAACTGAGAAAATAAGTGACAACTGAGATCATGATATTGAGGTCACCTGTGACATCAACCTTTCTAAGACCCTCTCAAATTCTTTTTCTTTCCACACAAACAGTTCACACTGTAATGTTAGTTGCTGTCAAATATGTAAAAGACAACAGACTTAGTTGTGATTTTCTTGTTGAAGAAAGAAAAGCCATCCCTCAAATCCTACAATGGCCTAAAGGGAAGAATTAACACATTAGTTCAGACTACTTTTGTGATTTTTATCAGATAACATTTACGTACTCTAGCAGACAGCAGGAGTGGGCCTCCTATATTCCTCAGATCTTCCAGCCCATGTGCTGGCTCTGTGCCTACGATCTTCCCTGTTCTCAACTTCACCCATGAGGCAACCCTAAAGTATGGGAAATCCTAAGGGATTATCTGCCCCTCCCACAGCAGCCCTCAAACTATGGCTCCAGGGAAGGAAGTACCTAAATATCCCAGCTCCCTCGCCCCTCAGATAGATAAATCGAACACGTGTACTTGGCATCACTGCCCTGAGTTTCCTGTAGGATTAAGCTTTAGGCTCTCTCTATTGCAGACGGCTTAATAATGCATCATAGATGGGCTGCCTTCCTTTCCCTGTACCCTCTCCTCTCTTTCCTACCAGTGATTATCTATGATTCCTAAAACACACCATTGTACCTGAATCCTTGTCTCAGGGACTGCTTCTGTGGAATGCAGATGAAGATATTCAAAATTAAAACAGAATGTAAGCAATGCTTGACACCATAAAAGGGGTTAATGACAATAAACTTATATTCCATGTTAAAGGGGACATCATCCACTCTCTCATATTTGCACATGGAAGGACATCCACCTAGATTAATGCACAGTTGTTTCTCCCTCATGGAGGTGAAACTTATTGCTTCATGTTTCTTGACTGATTGATGGGGAAAACTACTGAAGAGCTGCAGAAACTAAAGATTTGTTCTTTCTTTCCTCTCTACCCCAGAACAATGGGAGTGATAAGTCTGGGGGGTTTTGGCTGCCCTATGGACCCAAACTTTCCCTTAGGTGGGTAGCCCCAAATTCAAACCAGGGATGAGAGGTAGGCACACAGAGTGTTAGAAACTCTTAGCTTGTTTGTATATCTAAAGACACATTCCTCCATTGACTTTGTGAACATTAAAGCTGGCATTCTACAATCTGTTCATTCCTATTCTTGTTCTTAGTTGATTAGGAACTTGCCATTATCAAGCTTATTCAATGGACATCTTTGTGATTATTTTAATTTGTGGTGGAAAATTAAGAGAGTACAGAGATTAATGATATTTTAACCTGATAAAACTTTTAAGTCATAAGTAGGACACATAAGTTTAGAACTTTTATCTCTTTTTCCTTTTCTCAAAGCCTTAATTATACCTGAACACATCTTACCTCGCTCAGTCCTGCTTACAGGCTCTGCCATTTCCTACCTTCTCGCCAGCTCCTCTATGAAGCCACTGTCCTTTCTCCTTTCTCGCTTTACAGCTGCTTCTGGCCAGTCTCTGACATCTCAGCAAATTTGGGTTAATTCACTTATGCTTTCTGTTGTCCCACTGGTCTTCACGCAGGGATGTGATATTTGAAGTACAGGACAAGTTGGTGGCTTTGGCAGTGGTTTCTCAAGTCTACAGACACTCTCCAGCAGACGGCAATTTTCTGCCTTCCTGTATAAAACCAAAATCCTCTCACCTGACAGAAATCTTTCTCTCCAGATGTGGCAAAGCCAGCACAGATCATCTTCTCTGTGATCCCTCCTGGATGCGCAGAATAGTAAGTGTATTCACAGACCTTGCTTTCTAACACATGCACTCGAATCTGCTGTAGGCGACTTGCTAGGCCACCATCTAATGAAGCAACATTCAGAGAGAGCTCAGTGAAGTAAGCAGCAAGGGATGTTAGAAATGTATTTAAGTTCAGACTTAGCTCTGTCCCAGCATAACTGCAGTCATTCAGTTTGGCTTGAGCTGATGTAGCATACTTAATTTAAAAAACACAAGTGTTTTATGTAACATGTCTTCATTTCCAGATTTGTTATTTTTGTAAAGAGAGGCCATTGGCAGGACAATAAAACCAGAAACACTTTTTTTCTAGCTTATTTTCAATTTAAATGTTAATATATCAAATATTTCTGCATAAGAATTCAGGAAGAGAAATTCAGCAAGATATGAATTGGTGCTATATATGACATACAATTATAAATATATGGTTATATATTTACATAAATAAATACTTGCTTACTTATGATTTCCTAATATACACAAAAATCATAATCCTGTTTTTCTTCTACCATCATTGAAGCCTAATTGCACCTGCAATTTACATGAAATAATTCCTTTTCATAATTGATCCTTAGGCAGGCCTGTGTTAACATGTAGTTTTCATGACCATTCTATCATTTTAGATTTATGGCCAATTTTTTTAAGTTTAATATTTTATAGCCCTATACCTTTTAGGGCAGTATTAATAACAAGTACTTTAAATTTATATAGTACCTTAATATTTATGAATAATTTTATTCTAACCTAATATAGTAATACAACAACATTTTTCATATGTGAGGTCAGGTTAATCACAGTGATCTCACATATGAAAAAGCCAGACCTCTGAAAATTTGATCTCACAGCTCTTACGGGACAGAACTAGGCTCAAGCCTAAGTTCAAATCTAAATCTCACATTCTTCTTAATATACTAAAACTCCTCTTCTCGGGGACCATCTCCCTTAGTGTGGCTGACCATATCCCAAAAAATTAACATTCATTTCCTCTCCTAGTTGGAAAGAATAAATCCATCTTTTATAAGACTAACCACCTCTCAGTTGCCTGGTAGTCATGGAATTAATAAAAGTCAAAGATGTTAGAGAGCAGGCACATTTATTCAAGGGCTTTGAAACCAGTAAGCCAAACAATGTTTACTGAATGGCATGTATGCTTCTAGCCCTGGGAAGAGAGTGGCCAATGACAGCCTCCAAGAGGCTCTCAGTCTAGTGGGCGAATGTAGAAGATGACTGCATGAAATCATGCCAAGTACATTAACATGCAATGATAGGATAAAACCACGTAGTGCAGAATGCAATGGGAGGCCCATCCTCCTGCAGCAGCGTGGGCCAAGAAAGGAAGTGATATTTTGGATCAAAAGCAGGCAGCTGTGACAAGATTGTAATAAGCATGTTCCAAGTAGGAGGACACAAAATGGGGAACTTCAGAAAGCAAAACAAGCTTGGTGTTAAGGAGAAAGAAGAAAAGCTACGGTATTTGAAGGTTAACCAGAAGAACAGAAGAGGGAAATTATGTGGTAGAGGTAAGTGGAGAGGCCCAATCACACAGAGCTTTCCAAGCTAGGCTAAGGAGTTCAGATTTGATTGTAAATATAATGAAAAGCTATTAAGGAATGATTATAAGCTGATTTTAAATCATGTGATTTATAATTACATAATTATAAATTATGTGATTATGTGCTGATCTTAAATCCTCGCTTCGATATTTGTTAGTTACGGGATCTTAGCAAGTTACTTAAATCTTTGGGTTGCAACCTTCTCATTTGTAAAATGGGGATGATAAAAGCTCCTCATCTGTTGGGTGTGAAGGTTTTTATGAAAGCGTTATTTGGCTTCACATAGCACAGTAAGCTATGAATATCAACACTGTAAGCAGTCAAATATAAATTCCCTCCCCATTCAAGCTCACAGATTCCAAATACATGACATATAGAAAGAAAATATATAAAGAAAATAATCTTATATGGTATAAGAAGCAAAAGACAAATGTCAACCATTCATATCTTTCAGTGTTTTACTAAGCCTTTAAGAATTCTATACCATAGCCAGGGGTGAGCACACGACAGCCAGTGGATAAATTCTGTGCCACCCCCAAACACAGGCACAATCCATGAAATAAGAATGGTTTATACATTTTAAAAATCCAAAGAATGATATTTCACGACAATGAAATTTTATTTATAAAGTTCTATTGGAACCCATTCTGTTACATATTGCCAATGGCTGCTTTATGCTGTAACAGTAGAGTTGAATAGTTGTGACAGAGACCAGATAACCTGCAAAGCCTAAAAGGATTATTATCTGGCCCATTACAATAAAGGTTTGTCGACCACTAATCTGGCCTACTTATAATCCAAGTTACCCTGAAGGAAAAGTTTTAAACAACTCATTCTCAATTTATTTGCTTATCTATTATAGCTACATAAAACATTGTCTCTATCTTCTAGAAAGAAGAGGGGATGAAGCGGATGCTGCTTAATATTATTTACATGACGTAGTTTCAAAAGTAACTGGCATTAATGTTTGGGCGACAAAAAATGCTTACCTCTGCTGATGCTTCCCCAACCGGTGACAGCACAGATCTTGGAGGAAAACGGAGGCTCTGTGCTGTCTGGGAGACATATTGGCCTCACTGCCGAGTTGTACTCTAGAGGAGAGCTTAGCTGTACTAGGGCAATGTCAGAGTCATAACTTAGTATGTTGAAGTCTTCATGCACTATTATGTGTTTGGCTCTTCTCACCTGCATCAGTGGCAAGCAAGCAAATTCCAAGATGAGAAAGTCAAAGAACCCAGCTACTTCCTTGTTGATGGTACAAAATAATTCTAAATCTCTGCAGTTACATACATCAGCAACAAAGAAGACTTTGTATTGTAAAAGAGCAATCCTGATTTATAATTTGCAGGAGGCTTTGAACCACCTTCTGGATAATGGTGGCACTGGAGAAACAAAGCTTTGGAAACCTGTGTCCATGGGCGTAAATTTGCAATTCTGACCTACTTTGTGTAATTCTCAAGTGAAAGTGTAATCTCCAGTTGCATCTTTAAATGTGGATAAAAATGATAAGTGTAAAAGGGTCCTGGGAGATTAACTAATTACATATTTTAGCTAAAGGTATTGCTTGGCATGTGAGGACACTTAGAGTACAGGCAGAATGACCTATAAAAACATTCTTTTTACCTGCTCAGTTGATTCCTTCAGGGTTCTGTCATGGTCCCCAGCAATAATAGTCCAGGAGAATGGATTATTCTTCCTGGAGACAGAAGAACAGAAAAAATTTGACATGAAAACCGTTTGTATTAGTTGGTTCTCACACTGCTATAAAGGACTACCTGAGACTGGGTAATTTATGAAGAAAAGAGGTTTAATTGACTCACCGTTCCACATGGCTGGGGAGGCCTCAGGAAACTTACAATCATGGCTGAAGGCAAAGGGGAAGCAAGCATGTCTTATCACAGCAAAGCAGGAGACAGAGAGAGAGAGCAAAGGAAGCCACATACTTTTTAACCATCAGATCTTTTGAGAACTCACTATCATGAGAATAGCATGGGGAAACCACCCTACCAACATCTGGTCCTACTAACATGGACCATTCAGTTCAGCAAGGCAACAGTCCCCTGTTCGATTGCCTCTGCAATCTCCCTACCAGGGAAGCCACATCGTGCTTTCTGATCTATGTAAGGAGGAGCTCTCAATCATGTATCCTGCCCCTTTCTTTTGGCCATAAAGTGTCATTGGAGACCTTACCAAATATCAGCAAAGGCTTTTTTAGGTTGAGGAGGAAAAATGAAAACAAAAATATTTTAATGAAATATGCTTTAAATGAAAATAAAGCTTATTTTAATTTCACAGTGATGTTATGAACACATTAAAAAGAATTATGTCTGTGACAAAGTAGCTTCTGGTCTATATTTCACTGCTCAAAATTGCCAGATTATGATCTCACTGGGTCATGTCTCAGATTTATATCTTTTATTAAATCAGAATTATGAAACCAAAGTTAAAAAGGATTTATCAGTTTAAAAATTGGCAAAACTCAACTATTGCATTAGAAATCAGAATGCTGATTACTTTTAGGGGAGTGGTGACTGGAAGAGGCACAAGAGTGGCTGTTGGGTACAAGTATTTTGTTTCTCGAACTGGGTGTTGGTTACATGGGTGTTCATTTTGTAAAAAGTTCTGTATACTTGATATACTTCAAAATGATGTTTAAAAGTTTGAATAAATTATCGATTAATTTACCATATCAAGATCTCTAGCTGAAAAAGTGTCTGAGGGAAGAAACCCTCTACTGCCACCAATATACCATCACTTCTACTTGGAGACTAATTATTCCATTTTTTTTTAAGACTGTTTCTTCAGGAAATGTAAAGTTACTGAAATTATATTTCAGTATACCTTTTTCAAAGGTAAAGTTTTGTGTGTGTGTGTGTACACATTTAGTTTTATTGTAACAAAGCAACTTGTACACTTTCAATATTTAAAACTGAGCATCATCTTTCCTTTCCAGTGAAACAAAAAAAAAATATTTAAAAATGAACAGGAACAAAATTTGAATAGAGAATGTCAATTCCAAATAAGATCCCCCAGGTTCTGCTGATTGAGTGGCAGGGCTCAAGTCATCATTAGGAGAGAATTTATTTTAAAAGTGTCATATTAAACTGCAAGGATATCTGTCAAACATCACAATTAAACACACCAAAAGAAAAGCCATGTTGTCAAAATGCGCACTTAACCCACCCAAGCATCTCAAACTCACCCTTTGCTGACCTTCTATAGCCCCATTTTTTTAAAGTTTTTTTTTTTTCTTTTTTTAAACAAGGGAAAGTAGACAGATACATGTTGGTAAATGCTAACTGTCCATATTCACATAGAGATACAGTATACTCTCTGAGCCTAATATCCAGAGAAAGGAGGAAAAAAGCTAGAATTCTATGCATTACTACACAGGGGCCTACCATCCTCCAGCTTCCAGCAGAGTGAAGGGAGCAGGCTTTTCTTTTTTCCCCACAGAGCTTGTTGGTGTTGATTCCATGGAGTTTTTGTTCAGACAGGAAGGGATAAAAATGAATTTTGAACAGAAAGGGGTAGACACTCTTTTCCCATTGTATTCTGCTCAAGATATTTCCCCCAAAATAAGTTGAGAACCATAGTGTAGAGAAAAGAGACCTCAAAAACAGGGTGATTGAGCACAAGAGGGGAAAAAAAAAAGACTGCAACTTGCTCCCAAGGACCAGAGAAAATTTAGGTAAAGATTTTTAATACATGTAGGCACCTTCTCCCGAGTCATAACCATGCTCATTTCAATTCCTTGCATGATGGGTTTGACTTACTCATGTGTTTCAATATGCCTTTATTAAGGGAGCTAACTCAAGTGAAGTGCTTGGCAAGTACCTGGTAGATGGTAATGACTCCATAATGGTAGCCATTATCATTCTTATTACCTGCTATGCATGCCAATGGAAGGATTAAACTTTTTCAAAGTCACCCTCTAAATAATTACTTCATAGTGAAGAAACTTACTTCTTAAATCTACTCCACATCTTTATATAAAAGGGAATGTATACAATGCAATGAAGTTACAAAAATGATGGTAGGGTTGATAATGTAGACCACAGTTTCTTGTAATGTTTTACATGTACAGTCATCAAATATCCTTCAGTTTAATGGAGAACCATGACAAAGCCACATACACTTTATGACACCACAAAGCTTGAGATTTTTACAACAGTGGGAAAATAGCTTAAGGTATCAAATGATAGATTTCTTTACCTTTTCTTCCCACCTCTCCCATATAAAATTTCATCTTTTATAGTCTTAAGTTCTTATCTCCAACCCAACAATGGGGCATGTGTCACTCACTGCCATGGAATAAGAGCCACCTGACTTTGTTAGAGAAAGAGTCACTGAAGTTTAAGTAGCTGATTTAAGTTTTAGAAAGAGATATGTAATAACTGCAGAATGAGCTTGGTTTCCTAAAGTAAGTTAAAAGTCCCAGTGAGCACAAAAACCTATGTGGAATTAACAAGATAAGAACATCAGATTTTCCTAAGTGTGGAACACCACCACCAGGAATTTCTCAGGCCCTGCGCCAGACTTAAAGAATCAGAAACTCGAGATTAGATCAAAGATGGCCGACCAGGAACAGCTCAGGATTGCAGGTCCCAGTGAATGTGCAGAGGGTGAGTGGATGGCACATTTCCAGACAGATTTTTATTGCCCACAGACCAGGAGATTCCCAGGTGGAGGAGCCCCATGGATCGCCAGCATGACTGTTTTTGCTGGCGCAGCTGTTTTGGCCAGCACAGCTGCTTTCCTGAGCGGCAGTTTATCCATACAAAATACACTGGACCAGGTGCCCTTTTAGCTGGCGATTGGAACTCCAGGAAGGCAGAGTTGCCCATTCATCTGATTAAAAAGGGGACTGAAACAGGGAGCCAGGCAAGGAGATTCCCGGGAAAAGAAAGCGCCACGAATCTCAGTGCCGCTGTTTCAGTGGGTGCAGTGAGTCCCTGCACAGGAAATCACACAGATCCTGGCACCTTTTCAACAGGCAACTGGAACACCTGGGAGAGAGTCGACCATTCAACTAAAAAAAAAAAAAAAAGGCTCTGAGGCAGGGAGCCAGGCGATCAGTCCTGGCTGGTCCCACCCCCACAAAAAAAACCAAAAAAAACAGCAATTGGAAATGCCCTGGGTTGAGAGTTTCACAGGAAGCACAGCTGAACCCAGGACAGTCCAGCTCTGTGGGGGAGGGGCGTCCGCCATTACCAAGGCACTCCACCACTACGGAGGTAGTCCGCCATTGCTGAGGCACCCCGCCATTGCTGAGGCAACCTGCCATTACAGAGAGAGTCTGCGATTGCAGTGGTGGGCCACCATTGCCAAGGCAGTTCTAACTACACCCATATAAACAGGACTGCAGGGAAGTTCACATGGCAGCTGGGCAGAGCCCACAGCAGCTCAGCAAAGCCTCTGCAGGCAGACAGTGACTAGGCTGCCTCAATGCTGGGCAGGAAAGTCCTGAAAAAAAAGGCAGCAGCACAACGGAAACTCATAAATAAAGCCCTAACTCCCTGGGACAGAGCACCTGGGGAAAAAAAAAGGGGGGAGTTTATGAGTTCTGCTGCAGCAGACTTAAATGTACCTGCCTAGCAGCTCTGAATGAACAATAGAGCTCACAGCTCAGCATTTGAGCTCCTATAAAAGACAGAGTGTCTCCTCAAGCAGCTTCCTGACCCCCGTATATCCTAAGAGTCACCTCATAAAGGAGAGATCAGACTGACATTTGGCAGGTATCCTTCTGGGACAAAGCAGAAGAAGTAACTGGTAGCAACCCTTACTGTTCTGTAATTGCTGCAGGTGATCCCCAGGCAAGCAGGGACTGGAGTGGACCTCAGCAGTCCTACAGCAGAGGGGCCAGAATGTTAGAAGGAAAACTAAGAAACAGAAATCACTTCATCATCAACAAACTGGACATCCACTCAGAGACCCAATCTGAAAGTCAGCAACTACAAAGACAACAGGTGGATAAATCCACAAAGATGGGAAGAAACCAGCACAAAAAGGATGAAAACACCGAAAACCAGAACACCTCTCCTCCTACAAGAGATCACAACTCCTCACCAGCAAGGGAACAAGGCTGGATGGAGAATGAGTGTGATGAAATGACAGAATCATGCTTCAGAAGGTGAGTAATAAGAAACTTCTGTGAGCTAAAACAACATGTTCTAATGCAATGCAAAGAAACTAAGAACTTGAAAAAAGATTTGACAAAATGCTAACGAGAATGGACAAAATAGAAAGGAATATAAGTGAATTGATGGAGCTGAAAAACACAACACGAGAACTTCCCAAACCATGCACAAGTTTCAACAGCCGAATTGACCAAGCAGAAGAAAGGATATCAGAGGTCGAAGATCAACTCAATGAAATAAAACAAGAAGGCAAGATTAGAGAAAAAAGGGTAAAAAGGAATGAACAAAGTATCCAAGAAATGTGGGACAATTTGAAAAGACCTAATGTACGTTTGATAGGTGTGCCTTAGTGTGACGAAGAGAATGAATCCAAGCTGGAAAATATTCTTCAGTATATTATCCAGGAAAACTTCCCCAACCTAGCAAGGCAGGCCAATATTCAAGTCCAGGAAACACAGAGAACACCACAAAGATATTCCTCAAGAAGAGCAACCCCAAGGCATATAATCATCAGATTCACCAGGGTTCAAATGAAAGAGAAAATGCCAAGGGCAGC